ACATGTGTTAATCATTATTCAACATTGCCTGTCTTCAAATATTCTTCTTGTAGAATGTTATAGATGACATAAGACCTTTACCCATAAACCAGACCCATTGCCACCATGTCAATTCTGACTCAGAGCGACCCTATAGACAGAGCAGAACTGCCGCATAGGGTTTCCAGGGAGCAGCTTGTGGATTCAAACTGCTGATTTTTTGGTTGGCAGCCGAGCTCTTAACCACTGCATCACAGACCATTCATTCCATTTCTCTCATTTTACAAAAAAAGATATATTTTTAAATTGTCCTAAGAATGGAATGAACTATCTGCAATGAACTATAGGGGCGACTGTGGATGGTTTTCACTTAAATAAAAGGTACAAAAATTATAAGAGAATATTATGCGCAACTCCATGGCCAATAAACTTGAAAATCTAGAAGAAGGGAATTACGAGCAAATAGAAATTATCAAAATTTACTCAAATAGGCAGGAAAAACAAAAATAAAAGCAATAATCATATAAAAATTGGAAAAGTAGTTTAAGATCTTCATTTTAAAAAGGATCAGATGGCTTTATAGATGAATATATATAATATTTAAAGAATAGCTATTCCTATCTTATTTAAATTATTCTACAATGTAGGAATGGAAGAAAGGAACTCCAATACCTTTTATAAAACTGTCTTACCCTTAATACTAAAACATAATAAAAATAATACAAAAACACAAACGACCAACTTTATCTTTGAACATAGATGCCAAGAGTCTGAATAAAATCTTTGTAAATCAAATCCAATAGTCTATTAAAAGAAAATTGTTTTATGACCAAATAGGATTCCAGGAAACAAGGATGGTTTAACACTAGGAAATCTATGTGTTCAATTCAATTCACCACAGGAACAAAATAAAGGAGGAAAACTGCATAAGTATATCAAGAGTTGCTGAAAAAGCATTTGATAAAAGTAAGTAGCCATTTCTCATCTGGGTTCTTAAAAGCTAGTGAGCGGCCATCTAAGATCCATCAATTGATCCCAACCCACCTGGAGTAAAGGAGAATGAAGAACACCAAAGACACAAGGAAAGTAGTAGCCTAAGAGACAGAAAGGGCCACATAAACCAGAAACTTCATCAGCCTGAGACCAGAAGAGCTAGATGGTGCCTGGCTACCACCAATGACCGCTCTGACAAGGACCACAACAGAGAGTCCCCGACAGAGCAAGAGAAAAGTGGGATGCAGAACTCAAATTCTAGTAAAAAGACCAGACTTAGTGGTCTGACTGAGACTGGAGGAACCCCAGAAACCATGGCCCCCAGACTCTCTGCAACCCAGAACTAAAACCATTCCTGAAGCCAACTCTTCAGACAAAGATTAGACTGTACTACGGGACATAAAATGATACTCATGAAGAGTGTGCTTCTTAGCTCAAGTAGATACATGAGACTGAAAGGGCAGCTCCTGTCCGGAGGTGAGATGAGAAGGCAGAGAGGGTTAGGAGCTGGTTGAATGGACACAAAATCCGGGGTGGAAAGGAGGAGTGTGCTGTCACAGTTTAGGGAGAGCAATTAGAGTCACATAACAATGTATGTATAAATTTTTGAATGAGAGACTAACTTGAATTGTAAACTTTCACTTAGAGCACAACAATAAAATTTTAAAAAAAGGAGCAAACTACCGATAGACTCAGCAACATGGATGAATATCAAAAACATAACGCTGAGTGACACAAAAAGCTATATACTGTATGATTCCATTTAAACAACATTCAAGAAAAGGTAAAATGATGACATAAATCAGTAATTGCCAGGGACTGGGCGGGGGAAAAAGGACTGACTGGAAATAGAAACGAGAGAACTTTTTGGGGTGATGGAAATATTCTTTATCTTGCTTGTGGTGGTGGTTACATGGTGTCATGGTTTGAACTATGTCCCCCAAAAAATGTGTGTATCAGTTTGGCTGGGCCCTGATTCCTGGTACTGTGTGATTTTCCTGTATGTTGTAAACCTACCTTTATGATGTTAATGAGGGAGGATGGGTGACAGTTGTGTTAGTAAGGCAGGATGTGATCTACAAGACTGGATTGTGTCCTGAGGCAGTGTCTTGAGATATAAAAGACAGAAGTGAGCAGTGAGATTGGGGGACCTCATACTATCAAGAAAGCAGTGCTGGGAGCAAAGCGCGTCCTTTGTACAGGGGTCCCTGCGCCAAGAAGCTCCTAGTCCAGGGGAACACTGATGAGAAGGCCGAGAAGGAGAAAGCCTTCCCCTGGAGCTGACACCCTGAATTTGGACTTTTAGCCTACTTTACTGTAAGGAAATAAACTTCTCTTCATTAAAACCATCCACTTGTGGTATTTCTGTTATGGCAGCACTAGATGACTAAGACACATGGCTATATGCAAAATCCATTGAACTGTATATATAAAAGGTAAATTTTATTGTATATAAATTATACCTCAACAAATCTAAAAAAAAACAAAAAAACTCCAGAATGGATAATTAGGTAGAAATATACTTTTACATATAAATATATAAGGTGTGAAAAATGTTGAAAGGATGTACCCCAAAATAATGCTTCTCTGGGTGATGGGTTTATGAGTGATGTTTGTTTTCTTCCCTATATTTTTATGTATTTTCCAACTTTTCTACAATGACTATGTTACTTTGATAATTCAGGGAGAAGACAAAGTAAGTAGCCATTTCTAATAACAGGTAGCATTTATTAAGTGCTTGCTATGTGCCAGGCATTGGACTAAGTGCTTTGTTTGCATTAACTTATTTAATTCTCATAGCAATGATTGTATTGCTACAATTGTTATTATTCCTATTTTACAAAAGAGGAAACTGAGTCTCAGAGAGGTTAAATAATGTTACACATATAGGAAATGACAGAGATAGAATTTGAATCAAGTGTGGCTCTTATCAGCTACACTTGTTAGTTGCAGTCCAGTCAGCTTCAACTCATGGCGATCTTATGCATAACAGAAAGAAACATTGCCCTGTCCCGTGTCATCTTCTTAACCAATGGCATGTTTGAGCCCATTGTTGTGGCTATTGTGTCAATCCATCTCATTGGAAGTTTTCCTAATTTTCGCTGACCCTATACTTTACAAATATGATGTCAGCTATACTACACTGCCTTGAATAGAATCTCTAATTAGCACAGAAATAAAATCACTATGCTTAAACATGATAACCATTAATTATTAGTAAATTTTACAATAAGAGGCGAAATTTCCATTGAAATTCAGGACATGTTCCATGTTGGGATTTTTGTGGATGGGGGTGTCAACATATAGCACTATTCTTCCCCTCCTAATTCTGAACCAATTTAGAGAAAGGATAAAATATAAACAGCTGAGGATGAAATATCAATTGTATTACTGTTCAAAGTTAAACTAGAGCACATGGATTGTCCCTGTGGGGAAAGTGGACTTTATAATACTAAACTCCTGAATGAGGGCAACTTGCTGACACAGTCATAGCTGCACTGGGCGAGGGCAGGCCCTCCTCTTGTAAGGGGCCTATCCCTGGAAAAACAAAGTGAAAGTACTGCTTTCTGCAGGCAGGTTCAAAAGGGGTTAAGCCAGGCATAGTGTTACGGATTGAATTGTGTCCCCCAGAAATGTGTGTCAACTTGGCTAGGCCATGATTCCAAGTATGCTGTAATTGTCCACCATTTTGTCATCTGATGTGATTTTCCTATGTGTTGTAAATCCTACCTCTATGATGTTAAGGAGGCAGAATTAGAGGCAGTTATGTTAATGAGGCAGGACTCAATCTACAAGATTAGGTTGTGTCTTGAGTCCATCTCTTTTGAGATATAAAAGAAAGAAGTGAGCAGAGAGACAGAAGGACCTCATACCACCAAGAATGTAGTGCCAAGAGCAGAGTGTATCCTTTGGACCTGGGGTCCCTACACTGAGAATCTCCAGACCAGGGGAAGTTTGATGACGAGGACCTTCCTCCAGAGCCGACAGAGAGACAAAGCCTTCCCCTGGAGGTGATGCTCTGAATTCAGATTTATAGCCTACTAGACTATGAGAGAATAAACTTCTATTTGTTGAAGCCATCCACTTGTGGTATTTCTTGATAACTAAGACACATGGCCAGTTTACTCTCCACAGATTTATCAATGAGATAAGCCACTCTCCTGGGGTAGAATGAATAAAGGGGTGCAGTGAGGTCAGGAATATGACACTTGATTGAGCTATCTCTATATGACTAGTAAATTTACCATAAACAGAAGAACATTAACAGAGACTAGCCTCATAGAAAGGCAGAATACATGCCTCCCACCACAACCACCTCCACATTGTGAGAACTTAGGGACTGGTATGAAGGAAAAAGGAAAGAGGAAGGAACTTACTGAGAGCCTATTATGTGCTGGATGTTTACATGCAATCTCAAATCAAATGCTTAATATTCACACCAAGCTCGTGAACTCCAACTAAAGGATAAGACATCTGAGACAAAAAAGTTAAGTAACTTGCCTGTTTATTCAGTTTGAAAGTGGCCAAGTGACTATTTGACCGGGGGAAAAAAGGCAATAAAACATCATGTGAGATTTTGAAGTTGTTGTTACAACATCATTTAAATAACTGAGCAACCGAAAAAAAATTTTTTTTAAGACAGAGTCAGTTTTTACAAACAGGAGTTTGTAAAGAATGGGAAAGGTTTCCCAAGCAGTTAATGTCTTAAGCTAGTTAAGGGGATAAATTTATTATGAAGAATATAAATGTCAGTTTATAGTAATTAAATATTCACAAGCTTGGAAATATGAATGAAGCTGTTGAACAAAGGCATAACTGAATTGTACCACTGAGCCCAATTGTGCAATGAGAGATTCTCCTTTCTGACTTCTTTTGGGTCTCTGACATCATCACTTCTTCGTGCAGCAGTTAGATGCAGAAGCACCTGCAGACCAGAGGCCAGGCTCACTCTTCACAGGAATGTGCCCAGGCTAGCACTGCGTTTCCTTTACTTTCTAGAGCCACATGGTAACGAGTTGAGAAGATCTTCATCCCATTGTTTTCCTGCCCCAAATCTTTCTTAAAGCTTTGTTTACATCCTTATTTCTCAAAGAGTAGATCAGGGGGTTCAGCACTGGGATCACTACTGTGTACATCACAGCAACTATGCGGTCTTGAGTCAGGGAGTAGCTAGACCTGGGGCGCAGGTACATAAAAAGTGTTGTGCCAAAGAAGAGGCAGACAGCAGTGAGGTGGGAGGCACAGGTGGAAAATGCCTTGAACCTGCCCTGGGCTGAGTTCATCCTCAGGATGGTGATAAGGATGAAGAGGTAGGAGACAAAGATGGTGAGCATGCAGCTCAAAAGGTTGAAACCAGCAAAAATGATGAGCAGGATCTCACACAGGGAGGTGTCCATGCAAGAGAGGGACAGGATAGGAGGTCCATCACAGAAGAAGTGAGTGACTATGTGAGCACCACAGAACTTTAGGCTGAAGATACAGCTTGTGTGAATAAGAGAATTGAGAAATCCTGCACTGTAGGAGCCAAAAATCAAAGAGGTACAGACCTCAGGAGACATGGTGATTGAGTAGAGCAGGGGGTTACAAATAGCAGCGTAGCGGTCATAGGCCATGGCAGCAATGAGGTAGCACTCACTGGTGGCAAAGCCTGCATAGAAGAACATCTGAGCCACGCAGCCGAGATAGGAGATCACCTTCCTCTTGGCCAAGAAGTTCACCAGGGTCTGGGGGACAACCGTGGAGGAGTAGCAGAAATCCAAGCAGGAAAGGCTCTTTAGGAGGGAGTACATGGGTGTGTGCAGGGATGCACTCATGTGGATCAGGAGGAACATGACCAGATTCCCCAACAAAGTGATGACATACATGCCCAGGAACACCATGAAGAGCAGCATCTGGAGCTGGGGGTCACTGGTGAGACCCAAGAGCTCAAACTCAACCCCTTGACTCATGTTTGCCCCATCCATATTTCTCCAACGCTCTGGAGTGTGGAAAGAAGAGACCACCGGAAGTAAAGTTGAATATCTGAAGGCTTTGACTGGGTTTAGTTCTGCCCTAAGGACAGCCTTCTGAAGATTGGGCTCACTCAGGAAATTTGGCTTTGTGGATAGAACTCTGTCATATAGAGGGTCTTCTCTAGTTGACTGGTTAGTTAGTAAGCATTACTTGAACAGCAGTGGAAAAATGTAAAAGAAATATACACAATTTGGTCTCTCAGGGATCTTTAAAAATTCTGAATAATTTAACAGTCCCTCGCCAAATATTTATTGACAGTCTTGTATATGCTTCGCTCTGTGTTCTCCCTCTCAGGAATTCAAGAGTGCCTGACCTAAGGGAGATTTATATTCTAGAGACAATATATTTTGTGTTTAAGTGTACAGGCTCTGGCGTCAGACTGCCAATGTTCAAAGGCTGGACCTCATCATTAACTAGTTGTGTAACCTTGGGAATGTTACTTAACTTCTTTGAGTTTCCATTTTTCTTGTATGTTTCTTGGAGCCCTGGTGGTGTAGTGGTTAAGAGCTTGGCTGCCAACCAAAAGGCTGGCAGTCTGAATCCACCAGTCACTCCTTGGAAACCCTATGGTGCAGTTCTACTCTGTTCTATAGGGTCGCTATGAGTTGGAAGTCGACTTGATGGCAACGGGTTTGACTTTTGGTTTTAGTATCTATTTCAAAGAATTATCACAAAAATCAAATTAATTCATGTAAAGCATTTCAGCAAAGCTGAAAGACTGTTAGTTATGATTATTGTCATTGAGCAGACGGACATACAAGAACTAAGAAAACCTGTTGCAGTAGGGTCGATTCTGACTCATGGCCACCTCATGTATGTCAGAGTTGAACTGTACTCAACAGGGTTTTCGATGGCTGTAATCTTATGGAAGTAGATTGCCAAGTCTTTCTTCTGGAAATAGATTGCCAGGCCTTTCTTCTGGAAGTAGATTGCCAGGCCTTTCTGTGGTGTTGCTGGGTAGATTTGAACTGCCATGCTTTCAGTTAATAGTTGACTGAAACTCTTTGCACCATTCGGGGACCTAACACATAACCAAACACATAACTAAATGTACATAAATAAAAGCATAAATTAAATGAAAACAAGAGCAATAAAATATAGAAAGCAACCTACCATCAAACAATACAGACAAACACATGCTAAGCAAGAGTGACTGACCATGCCCTCAGAGGATCCTAAGAGATGATTTGAAGATGGTTCATTGGCTTAGCTATAAAACTGCCCCTGTGAACTTGGCACTAGCCAGGCACAGCTGTAGGCTCTAAAGATGACAAGGGTGCCAACTGAGGCCTTGCGCTTGGGAGCTTCAGCCAAGGGCAAAGTGTCACTCATTGTTCATGAAGATGCCAGTCATTTCCAGTGAACAGAATCATCCTGGACTCAGGGACTACTGAGCCCAGCAGGAAAGGAACAGCCCTGCCCCAAGAGTAAGTCTTTGCAAAAATGCCTTTTGCATTCGTAGAGCAAACAAGGCCTTGGATGCATCACCGAAGCACCACACTGTCCTCTCTGCTCCATTGGCTGTTCTGCCACCCACGTTCCCAAACTACCTCTGAGTTCTGGAGTTGGTTAATCACCCTGTGCTCTTTGGTGAGATCCTTCAATTGTGAAGAATTTGAAGCCAGCAGACGTGATAGGAGTAGAATGGAAAAGGGCAAAATTGAGCCACCACCTCCTGCCCTGAAGAGAGTCAATGATTAACACAGCTGTGAAATATGTTGACAGGATTCAGGAGAAGAAAGAGCTGTCTAGAGCAGGGAACAGTTCTAGTTTATCCCATTGGCAAAGTTTTCAGAATCAGCAAACTACCAGAGTAGGAGAAGATACTGGGCATACCCACCACCCACTGCCATCGAGTCGATTCCGACTCATAGTGACCCCATAGGACAGGGTAGAACTGCCCCACAGGGCTTCCAAGGCTGTAATCTTTATGGAAGCAGACTGACACACCTTTCTGCCATGGAGCTGCTGGTGGGTTCATACTGCAGGCCTTTCGGTTAGCAGCCGAGCCCTTTAACCACTGCACCACCAGAGCTCCTACTTGGCATACAGATAACTAAAATTAACTGTCAAGTAAGTAATGAAGGCATTACAGTTGATAGAACACTGAGACTGGTGAAAAGAAAAAAACTTAGTTATGCCCAGAGGTAACATGCCCTAATAATACAGAGATGCTGGAAATACAAGAGTGCAAATTTGAACACAAAGCATTGGTAACTGAGTTAGAGAACATGGAGCACAATTCTGTGATTTATTTCATGTCACTGAGATGTAACATTAAGCCACCTTTTTTTTTTCCAATTTTAAATACAGTTTTAAGACATTGCATTTTCCACTTACAATACGGTGCTAATAAAGTGCAGTGTTGACTTCCTTTCCCTATGCACATTCCATATTCAACTATTGAGAATACCTAGAAATTTAGTTTAGCAGTGTAACTTTTAAAACTGCCACAGAATGTGCTACAAATTTGGGCCCTTCGGTTTTTCACTCTGGAACAATGCTAAGGTATCTATGCTCAGAGACTGGCTTAATCAACTTCTTCAAGGGTGGGTCCATAAGAGGCACCACCAGATGGAGGAGCTCCACCACCAGCGAAGCCCCCAGGCAACCTTCCAGGCATGCCTCTGGCACTCTGGTACAGCTTGGTAATGATGGGGTTGCAGACTTTCTCCAGCTCTTTCTGCTAGTGTTCAAATTCTTCCTTCTCTGCCGTTTGATTCTTATCAAGCCAGTTGATAATTTCATTACAGTTGGCCAGCATCTTCTATTTGTCCTCATCATTGATCTTACCTTGAAGTTTTTCATCTCCAAATGTTGCTTTCATGTTAAATGCATAGGAGTCAAGAGAATTCTTAGAGGACACCTTGTCCCTCTGTTTCTCATCTTCAACTTTGTACTTCTCAGCTTCCTGGCCATAAGTTCAATGTCTTCTTTACTCAAGCAGTGCTTGTCATTAGTGATGGTAGTCTCCAGTACTCTTATCTACAGCATGGAAAACCACGGGGTGCAGTAGGTATGCCAGTGAATTCAAACTTGCCGAGCGGGTTGTTATCCTAGATCATGGCACGTTCACCTTCATAAACCTGAATGAGAGTACCAGGCTGGGTATCAGAGTAGGTTGTGAAGGTCTGAGTCTGCTTGGCAGGAATGGTTGCACTTGATGAGGACAGTCATGACTCCACCAGCAGTTTCAATACCAAGGGAAAGAGGAGTGACATCCAAGAGCAACAAATCTTGAACATTTTCAGATTTGGGTCCAGGTAAGATGGCTGCCTAGACAGCTGTACCATAAGCAACAGCCTCATCGGGGTTGATGCTCTTGTTCAATTCTTTTCCATTGAAGAAATCCTAGAGAAGTTTCTGAATCTTAGGAATATGAGGAGAACCACCCACAAGGACAACATCATGGATCTGTGAGTTGTCTAGCTTGGCATCCCTAAGGGCTTTCTCCACAGGGCCCAGGGTGCCACTGAACAAGTCAGGATTCAATTCTTCAAATCAGGCACGGGTAATGGAGGTATAGAAGTCAATTCCTTCATAGATAGAATCAATCTCAATATTGGCCTTGCCTGGGTGCTGGAAGAGAGAGTGTGCTTTGCACATTCACAAGCAGTGCGAAGGCAATGAAGAGCCCTCTAATTTTTGCTTATATCCTTCTTATGCTTGAATTAAGCCATTCTCAACCCAAAACTTACTAGTTTATGATAAATCCATTACAGGAATGTGGGCAATTCTAGATTTGGGTTGCAAATGTCAATGACACTGTTTCTGTCAAAAGCCAACACAGCTCCACAGCAAATTACAGGGACTTAAAAAAAAAAAAAAGACTGTAAAGAGCCCAGGATGGAAATAACTTACAGGAACTTCAAGGAAGTAGAGAATGGAGTGGAACTTCTTGAGACCCTGCTTCAAATCTTCCTCAATATACTGTTTCAGTTTTGGTAATGGGTCTGCAAGTACCTCTCTGATTAAAAGAATGGGCAAAAGTAGAGAGAGATAGGAGGCAGCCACTGCTCAGAATAGTGTAGATGAGGCAGGGAGCCTACCCTGGGGGTGGAGAGTGGGGTGGGACAGGGTAAGTGGTAGGGGTGATACAGTGAATCAAGGCCTCCAGATTTCTTACTTGCTTTAAATCCACTCTTTCTTTCTTTCTTTTCTTCTCTTTCCTCTCTCATTGCTCTTCTCCAACCTGCACTAAATTCAGAATTCTTCAGGATATAGAGAGTTAGTAAAGGAAGGGATTGTGGAGAAATTGGCATTGCTTATAGTTTTTCCAGGGATATTGGAATAACCACTATTTCTATTGGTTGCAGTTGGTATCTGTGAATGAAAAGTGGGAAGGAAGCTTAATCAAAAAAAACAAACCCATTGCCATCAAGTCGAACACACAGCAACCCTATAGGACAGAGTAAAACTGCCCTATAGGGTTTCCAGGAGTGGTTGGTGGACTTGAACTGCTGACATTTTGGTTAGCAGCTGAGCTCTTAAACACTACGTAACCAAGGCTCCAGGGTAGGAAACTTAAGGTTGGTTTTATCAGATGGAAATAGAATAAGGATTGGCATGCCTAGGGGTGAGAGCAGACGCCTGGGGTCTGTAAATGAGGGAAGGCTAGGCAAAGGACTTTATACCTGACTCTCCGCCTTCCTCCCTGCAATAACAGAGTGGAAGCAGGCAGCCAGGGGGAAGAAAGCTAGTGAGGTTCTTTGAGCAATAGTGGTCCCAAACAGTGGTTCTTAAACATTAACATGCCCAAGGTTCACTAGAGAAGCTTGTTATAAGTGCAGATTCAAGGTACCAGCCCCCTAACATTTGTTGTGATAGATCTGCAGCTGAATTAAAAAATCTGGTGATTCTAATCCACACTCTGAGAAATATTAAATCATGGAGTACCTGCAGGAGCAGACAGATCTTCCTCAGGCACACATAAATAACCTTTCCTAACTTCTTAGAATTCCCTGTGTCCTGGAAAATCAATGTGTGGGCAGGGTGGTTGTCCTGGACATTCTCCTTCCTCCAGAAGTCAGTAGTTAATTTCCAGAAATCTGGGTACTACCTGATGATGATCAAACACAAGGAAATTTTCTCTTTCAAAGTTGCTTC